AAAAAATACTTTTTCCAAATATGCTAATGAGTCACCCTTGTTCCATTTGAAAAAATTGACATATGTATGATTAAAAATACGATTTGTACATCTTTTAACCGGCCTAGACAAGACAAGAAACCTATTAGACGATCAAAACTATTTTTCAAGGCTCCTTGGTTAAAACTTAGTGTTTTTAACAACACCATGGCACCCTGGATTGAAATTTAAAATAGGATTTGTTTTTAAGCGATAATGTCAAAAGTTGACATATGATATGTCATTCTATTCGAAGTCATTTTTATCGAATAAAGTAGCAATATACCGAGGGTGCCTTTAAAAATCAAAAGATGTAATCATTTCGGTGAAACAGGAAGAGACCAAAAACAATTGAATACGTCAATAAATCCTAATTTATGTCATATACCAACTAACATAAAAATCATTTTTTTTATCTGAAAAAATAAAACAAGTTATGGGGGTTGAGCCACTTTTGAGACGACCCGGTATATTAAAAAATATTGTTTCATAATGTAATATCATTTTAAAATTCTTGTATGTTATTTTAGATTCTGAAGATAATTTTAGAATAAACCGGAATATATTTTTAATAAAAACATTATTAATTATTAACAGGGTTATAATTATGATTTTGTTACAATGTAAGTAAGTAAATAATGTAATGTAAGAGAAAAAATTCAGATTTTACATTTTACTAAAATATTATCTAAATAAGCGCCTTTCTACAACAACGCCACTGACTCCCAATGGGTAAATTGAGAGTTGCCTACCGGTCAAAAGTCGTTTCAAGACTTAAATGGATTATTTAAGTCAAATTTCTTGCAAATTTGGCACTGGCGAACCATATTTTATAGTTCTTGAACAGAAAAAGTCAATAAAATAAACACTTAAGCACTACAAGCTAAGAAAATGCGTTAATACAGCCGGGGAGATAGCGGCAACAAAGCTTTACCGCACACGTGCGACACGTACTACAAGGTAATAAATGAATGAATAGGCTCCCTCGCCTCTAATCGGTGTTGTCATATTGTAAAGAACTTATCCTTTTTAAACAGTATCCGACTTATAATTTAGTAGTATAAGGACTATTTAATACATCTCTGGAATATTAAAACCTACTTTATTAAACTGTAGTATTAATATCTCAATATATGTGTATAACAAGAAAAAAAATATTGATAATATTAAAGACGTGACAACATAGGCTGGATGAGGAAGGCTCGGTCGACTGTACCCAGAAGTAAACATGTGTACAAAAAAGGTTGTTTGTCCGCGTTGAGATGTAAATAGTGTAGTCTATATTTTATTTTAAGTCTATGGCGATACCCCACTTGTGACACTTCTTTGGAAAGCTAATTGAAATTGCTAAACGATGGTCATACAGATTTCAACTTCTGTCTTCTTTCAACAATTACTGGTAAGTAGTGATAAGAAATGTAGGTGTGACAATTTGAAAGAAATTTAAAATGATAATTTATTTTAACAATTGCTCAAAATGACAGCCATTTTGTTCCATACAAAAATACAAACGATTTTCAAATTCTTCTCTCACTTTTTGGAAAGTCTCTCTCGGAATATTTTGACATGCTTCAGTTATCCTCGGCCGCAATTCTTGCAACGAACCTGGTTTTGTCTTGTAGACTATGGATTTAGTGTAACCCCACAAGAAAAAGTCTAAAGGAGTGAGATCAGGTGACCTTGGCGGCCACTCGATTGGACCCCTTCTTCCAATCCATTGCCTTGGATAATACCTATCCAACCACCGCCTTGTGACAATAGAATAATGCGGAGGGGCTCCATCTTGCTGAAAGTGTATGAGGTCTTCATTAAGAGTTAAATTTCCTTCCAAATCTCTTTGATTTTCAACTTCATTTACAATGGCTGGCTCTATCAAATGTTCAACATTTCCACATAAGCATCACCAGTCAAATTTCCGTCGATGTAAAATGGACCTATAATTTTATCGCCTAGTATTCCGCACCAAACGTTGAGCTTTTAGGGATGTTGGGTGTGTCCTTCAACAACAATATGCGGATTCTCATCGCTCCAGTATCTGCAGTTTTGCTTATTCATAAATCCGTTTAAAAAAAATGAGCACTCATCACTTAAAAAAATATTTTTAATGAGTGAAGGTTCCCTTCAAATTTCCTCCGTCATTAGTTCACAGAACTGAATCCTTCTATCTGGATCGTTGCCGCCATGTTCCTGCAGAATCTTCATTTTGTAGGGATGGAATTTGTGCATTTTCAATACTCTCCTGACAGATGTTCGAGGTATACCTGTGATTGATGCCAACTGGCGTGTTGATGCTTCTGGATTGACCGATACCTGACCAATAACTTCCATCTGCATTTCTTCATTCAGTACCTTGGGCCCTGTCATTTTTTTATTTTTAACCGACCTAATTTCTTGAAACTTTAACCCTTAACTGGTCCGGCATCGTCTGACAGACTACGCCAAATAATTAACTCATTCTCATTAGTTACTGGGACCGCCCACACAATTGGCGTTCCAGCTAATCCTCCCCCTCTCGGTCAACTACTGATAGCCATATTTATGCCCAAACTGGATTAGTTTTTTAGAAGTTATGGCAGAAGTTACTTAAGCCGTAGTCTCTCAGACGACGCCGGACCGTTTGCGTAAGATTTTGTGTTTGACAAACTTTTGTAAAATATGGCCAGGCCTTCGAAAAGAGTGCGTTTACGAGACTCTAGTTATGAAGAAACTCTATTAAAATGATACGATGAGGACTGTGACAGTGACAATATGACAATCTGCCAGACAAATGCGTTTGACAATGTCAAATATTCCAAGACAAATATACTTTACAATTGGTAGAATACTTGCAATTCCTGTACAACCAGAACACGCCCACGGAGATATTCTTATCCCAGAGTTCTTATCCTAGTTAAAGACAATGTTATGTCCTAGTTTAATTATTTTTAATGCCTAGAATGTACGAATTCATTTTGTAAAACATGTTCAGGAAAACAATGAACTTTGCCTCATGCTGTAACTAAAAACCTTTTCTTTAATTTCAGTTTTATAGCTTATTTTTTTATATATAGTACTAAAAACATATTTCTATATTGTAATGACTGTTAGTAATTTGGTTTTATTTTTTAGAGCTTAGTAAAAATCTAATTGTTTTTTTTTCAAATTTATATGTATGTTATTTTATTTTGTATTATATTTTCTTAAAGTTTATATTAATTGAACCCCATTTTTGTCTATATTAGTTCAATAATACATAATATCATATATAATAAAATAAAAATTTGTTATTTTTTAGTTTTTGTGTGTTTTTTTCACTTTTTAGAAGGCGTAGTCCCACAGACTACGCTGGACCGTTTATGATACATATCTATTACCGGACCAGTTAAGGGTTAAAATCAAATCTCTAACATAAACGTGACTTACGTTTTTGTCCGGTTTCTCTCATTGAAAGCACGGGCCGTTCTCAAATAACACATACCTTCAGCACCATAAAGAAAAACTATTTGACTCTTTCTTCCACAGTATAAACCATTTTTCTTTCAAATAAGCGAATCAAATAAACGTTTAAAATACCACCAAATTTGCAAACGATTGAAAATCGATAGAAGACAGTGCAAAAACGCAAAGATATGCCGTTTTAAGATTCCTGTTTGTTGAAAGTAAAAAAATAGATGATAAGGAAGAATTTGCGTTATCGCAAAATTAGGCTGAACGATTAGTAAAACATCTTTGTGTTGCCTTTTTTATTATCTACATTTTTTATTTTTAGCTTTAAAATGGCAATTGTTTAAAAATGGCATTGATGAGATTAGAAGTGAGGAGATGGCATCTAGGGGTGGGTCGGGGTGGTTTAAAAAATGTCTCATTTGCCTCATTTAGCTGGGTCCCAAATTGTAAGTTATGCTGAAAAATTTACTTTTTTCATTAATGTCAACCTAATTTTTCGTGTAAGGGGTAGTTTTTCAATTTCACCCTAAAAACGTTATGATCATTGTTTAGAATTTTTCATGGGCTTTCCAAAAAGGCGCCACAAGTGGGGTGTTGCCATTTAAGATTTTCAAGTAAGTAGGGGTGTCGCCTAAGGGGTAGGTCGGGGTGGTTCAAAAAATACGTCATATGTATTCCCCTTCGATATTATAGAAACGGTATTTTTTATTTTTTTCTATATCTTTTGGTTTAAAAATTATAGCCATTGTAAGTTTTCAGTGGCCCACCCTGTATAATACATATGTACCTATACATCTTAAATGCAATATGGGAAGTGTTTTGGAAAAAAATTAAACCATATTTTACGCTATATCGGCAGACAATTAATCAGAAAAATATCTCGTATCATCTTATTAAGTTCAAGGCAGGAAAACAAATTTAATTTTGAAGGTTTTCGATTATACGGTGGCGCTCCTTTTAAATTTTACGATGTTTTTTTTTCACACGCCTTTAAACTTTGAACTTAGGAAGTCGTATAACGACAAAAATGCAAAAGTAACAAGGTTTCTCTTTTCAAATGATATGCAACAGGATGCTTCCTAAATGGATTAAATGAACTACCTACTGGTAAAACGATGTCCCTATCTGATATTTTGTTCGAACTTCCTTAGAAACCTTTTAAATTATACTTTGTATCTCTTAAAAAATGAATTAAGCAGCATATACTATAAGTACTCATACATTATATACATATGTTATAGACGGGGTGTCCCAGGCGAGCCGGCATTAGAAATTTCTAGAGAACTACAATACAGTATAACTTCGGCAATCCGTACACCTCGTAAACCGTACACTCCAGTCAATCGGACACCCGCTACAGTTCGGACATTTTCAGATTTTTACCTTCTGTAATTCGGACACTGCTAAAAAGCATGACAAATTACAATGGCTAAATGCGAAAAAGTATACTAGTATGTATACATATGTAAAGAAATATTTTTATACATGCAGCGGCTTGTCCAGTCGAGTCGTACGTAGTATTTATTTGGCGCCGAGTGTTAGACCACGTGTAAAAAATGACTCCAACGAAACGCGTCCATTGCTCTGCTACTATTAAAGAGAAGTGTAAAATTCTTGACAGTTTAGATGCAGGTGGTAGTGTTCGGCATGTTGCGAAACTTTTGAAGATACCAAAATCAACAGTATTCGATATAAAGAAGAACAGAGTGAAGATTCGAAATTTTGTTGCGAGGTCGTACACTGATATAGGTAAGTTTTATGAATAAATGCTGGGTTTTGAGTTTGCACTAAAGATATGTAATGTTTTTTAGGCCAGAGAAAAGTTATGAAAAAGCCCGAGAATCCTGATGTGGAAGAGGCGTTATACACTTGGTTTCTACAGCAACGTAAAAATCACATTCCTGTCTCTAGTGAAGTCTTGCGCACAAAAGCCAGATTTTTTTATGAGCGCATCACTGGAAAGACTAACTTTCAAGCTAGTTCAGGATGGCTTGACAAATTTAAGGCAAGACGCGGCATTCGTTTTTTAAAAGTATGCGGAGAACGTGTTTCAAGTGACGCTGAAGCAGTTGCTCCTTTCCAACTTAAACTGCAAGCCCTGATTGAGAAAATGCAATTAACTAAAGAGCAAGTCTACAATGCGGATGAATCCGCACTTTTTTGGAGGGTTTTGCCAAACACAACGTGGGTGCATAAAGATGAGAAATCGGCACCAGGGAGGAAAGTTTCAAAAGACCGTGTAACCTTTATGCCATGCTCAAATGCATCAGGTACACATAAGTTGCCGTTACTTGTGTTAGGTAAATCTAAGAACCCTCGAGTTTTCAAAAATGCACAGTTGCCTGTGAAATACGAGGCTAGTACCAAAGGATGGATGACCCGAAACATATTCTCTGAGTGGTTTAAAACAATCTTTGTTCCTGAAGTGAAACAATATCTGAGTAACGCCAATAAGCCATGCAGGGCACTGCTTCTTGTTGACAATGCGCCTTCACACCCACCCGAAGAAGAGCTCAATACGAATCCAAATTTCATAGTGGTATTTTTGCCTCCTAATTGTACTGCATTAGTTCAGCCAATGGATCAGAACTTGACACAAAATATCAAGGTTTCTTATAGAAGGCAATTGCTGACCCACATTATATCACAAGAAAACAAAGACACAATGCAACTCCTGAAGAAATTTAGTCTTCTGGATGCAGTGAATACTCTCGACTCTGCTTGGAAGTCCATAACCGAAAAGAATATTCAAAAAAGCTGGGATGGAATATGGCCTCAATTGGTGTCAGATGAAGAAGATGATATTTTGCTGGCCGATCTAAGAAAAAGCCTACTTGAAGAAGCTGCGAAACTCAGCGACTTGAAAAAAATGTTAAAAGTTATAGATCCGGAAAATGAACTGAATGATGAAGAAATAAGAAACTGGTCGACAGGAAGAGACGAAATAGCTGTTGATAATGTTGGCGACGAGGAAATAATTGAATCGGTACAATCAAACACAAACGATGAAGAAGAAGGGGATATTATTGACATTCCTACAAAAATCAAACACATAGAAGCAGTACAGTGTTTTTCAAAATGCGTGCAGTGGGCAGAAGAAAACAAATTGAATTATCAAGAAGTCCTTTTATTGAATAAAAATTAGAACTATCAAGAAAGCTTCACAATGAGAACCTTATACAAAAAAAAATTGGCGACTTTTTGCCTTTAAATACTCGTACATAATATTCCTTTTCGCCAGATAGCCGCAAAAGTTGGATATGTTTTAAACTTTTTCTATTATACGTACATACACATATTATTTGTAAAACACTGGAGTTAATGTTGGTACATATAAATATGTAAATAAAGCTAAAAAATTAACCTGTGTTTCATTATCAGCATAACTTCGGTAATCCGGACAATTCACCAATCCGGACGACCACCTAAACTATATCTGTCCGGATTATCGAAGTTCTACTGTATCTAGAACGGAGATTTTTTGTACATCATTGTTTTACAATGAGATCTATCGATTAAAAATATTTCCAGTATGGCGGCACATCCGGAAATACCGGATGTTAACAGCAACTTTCTTATTTTAAATGGGTACTTACTTAAATTCTCTGTAAAATTTTATGAATGTTGATATTAAACACTATATACAGGGTCGTCCTAAATGTATTCCGGAAACTTCGGCAGCATATTCTGCAAATAAAAATAAGTAAAAAAGTTCGTATAAACGTATGTCCTAAAATGCTTAGTTTCAGAGTTACAGGGTGTAGAAGTTTCATTTTTATTTCGATTTTTTCCAAATAATTTCTGAAGTAACGTCATTATTTGGATGAAAATTGGTATCTAGGAGTTTTTTGACATGAAAAATATGATTTTGATGTCAATATGACTCTACTGGTAGAGGGCGCCACCTACATGTGTTTTAACTGTTTTGAAGCGTAATAACTTTTTGTCCGTACCTGTATAAAACTACCGAGGAAAAAAATATACATCACTGCGACATTTTACGCAAAAAATATCTCTTTGTAAAAATCGCTACGAGCAATCGTTTTCAAGATATTTAGAACGGAAATAGTCAATACACGTCATTATTGACGAAAAATAAACACGTTTGAGTAGATAGTTATTTCACTGAAATAATAAATTTGGGAAATTTTTATTTTTTTAAATTAATCATAATTTTTTCTGCAAAAAAATGATGACAAAACAGTTTCTGTTGAACTTTTAGCACAAAAACTTTCAAATTTATGATCTCAGTCTAAGTAAACTATTTAGTCAACCTGTTTAATTTATGTCAGTGATGACGAGTATTGATAATTTCGATTCCAAATATCTCGAAAACCAATATTCATAGCGATTTTTACCAAGAGATATTTCTTACGTAAATAACGTCGTAAATATATATTTTTTTACTCAGTGGTTTTATACAGGTACGGACGAAAAGTTATTACTCTTCAAACCATTTAAAAAATATGTAGGTGGCACACTCTACTAGTAGGAGTCATATTGATATCAAAATCAAATTTCTCACGTCAAAAAACTCCCAGACACCAATTTTCATCCAAATATTGACGTTACTGCAGAAATTATTTGGAAAAAATCGAAATAAAAATTAGAACATACATTTATACGAACTTTTTTACTTATTTTGATCTGCAGAATATGCTGCCGAAGTTTCCGGAATACATTTCGGACCACCCTGTATATAACATTAACCGTTTTTAAGAAAAAAAAATATTTAAAATTTTTGGACCAAAAAAACAGCCTGTCAAAAAAAAATTTATGGTCTAAACGTCAAAATTCAGTGATTACCACAGTCACTGTGACATAAAGAGAAGACATGTGGCTATCTATTTCAAAAATTAAATTCTTCGAATGTCATTAGGTTAAAGATTAAAAAATTAGTGAAAGGTTTTTTAATTTGTTACTTTTTGATTATACATATTCCTATACCTAAAATAAATCGTTTTTAAGTTATTTACCATTTAGTTTTAAAGCGTATATTTTTCTTGATTTTTTTTTCTTTTTTTTTCAACTCTTTTCAGCTTTTTTTCTTTACTATATTTTGTTATATATTATATACAGTAATGTCCGTCTATAACGAACCCGGTTATTGCGAACTTTCCTTTATAACGAACCAAATCTATAGGTACGAATTTCGGTGTTACTAAACGCGTGTTCATTTTTTCGCAAATAACGAACCTTTTTATAACGAACTTTTGGATAAAACGAACCTTAAATTTTGATATGATCGTAAGATTTTTCTTTTATAACGAACCTAAAACTGTATTTTATCGCTGGCGCTGAGGATGGCGAGTTACGACGTAAAAACCGAACCAAACCAAACATATTGTTAGTGGTTAACTGCCCAGCTCATCCAGATGTTAGAAATTTGAACTGCATCAAGTTAGTGTTCATGCCACCAAATATCAGTTTCAAACTACAACCTATGGATCAGGGTGTCATTCATAGCTTAAAGAGACATTATCGTCGACTTCTTTCGAAAATGGTACATTTTGTTGATAGTGGGGGTGAAAATATTTCTATCAACCTCTTGGATGAAATAAAACAAACAATTTTTAATTGTTTTTAACACGGTGGTTTCCTAAAAGTGGAAAATTATTTGGATTCAGATATGACTTGACAGTAGCCGAATGGCCGAAAAAAGTTGGACAAGAAGATGATAACAATATTCTAGTCAATCTTCCTTGTTTTTGAAAATGAGTTTAATTTGTCCATATTGATAATAATCTTGTCGAATACTTGGATTATGATGCCATTGTCGCTTCTGTGTCTTCTTCAGTTTATAATATTGATGACGATGAAGAGGCGGAAGATGAAGAACCTGTGAGTACAGAATTGAGACCAGTTCCGACCACAACAGAGGCACTTCCTTCAGTCACGAAATACGTAATTTCCTTCAGTCACGAAATACTGTGCAAAGTGTTCTTAATCAATTAGCCGAAGTAGAATTACATATTAGTGATATTCATTTCACAAAAATAAAACAAACTAAAATAAAAGATTTTTTTTTAAATTAGACTCTTAAGAACAGTTGTTAATGTATCTACCATATTACAAAATATATTTTATGTACCATATCTAGATATTAACAGTTTAATTAATTAACAGTTAATATTAAGAATTATTTTATTCTGTAAACTTTGGTGTTAATAAAAATACCTCATCTTTTATATTTATTAGCATTTATCGTTTATTGCTAACTTTGCTTATAACGAACTTTTTTCGCCTGTCCCATGAGATTCGTTATAACTGAACAATACTATACTATATATTATCTTTACAACAGCACCCATTGCTGTTCTATATACCTATCTAAAATCGCAATCGTAGGTTAGTCACAGGATTTATAAATCACAATCGCAGTTTTAACTGCGATTAGAAAATAGCAGTTCTACTCATCTCTAGCAGGCAGATAAAAATCATTTTCTACAGCAGTAATCTAGATTAATGGGAATACATATAAATTTTAATTAGAGTAGAAAATGAAGACAAAGACTACTCTAGGTTTAACTCTAAATATGATAATATTATGTTGTTTGTTGCACCGAATGAATGCGAACGTCATTAAATCATATTTGACATTATCTCTAGATGAACTGTCCATTGAAGAATTTAAGCGTAACAGGTTCATAAATTTCTAAATTGTTGCATTCTCTATTTTAGAATATGCAAAATAATGATTATGTGCGGAAGGGAATAACCATATATCTTTAGAAAAACTAGTTTATTATATAGATAAGATCGAACAAGAGAGGAAAAATTATTAAATGTATGATATTGGCCCGGTTACGAACAGATGGTCGGTTCGCGCTTGCTGCCAAAAGCGACCTTGATATTATGGCGGCACGTCGATTTTACGCATGGTTAAAAATTGGAGCCGGTAGGATGTTTTCTTCACCGGCTCTACCGCCACTTTCAAAAAGATGATCGATTTTGATATTGATTTTATATTTTAATTTAATAAAGCACCAACCGTACTTCCTTTGTAAAAAAAGCCCTAGTGTATAAAGCTAAATTTATCATCCCTAATATTTTTAGACATTTTCCATGGAAGAATTAAAGGTATTATAATTGAAATGTTCTAAGAAATGCATAGTTAAATTATTTATAAGAAACGTAAATTGAACTTTAAGTTCGGGAAGATAAGAAAACGACATAAAATATGGTAATGTACTGTCTATAGTTCTTCTTCTCTTCTTTCTCAGCCTGGTTCCATTCAGTGTTGGATATAGACACAACTAAACGCTTCTGTAAACACTTCTACAGACTGTAAAGACTTCTAGGTTTTTCCATGCTTCGCGATCTCTATCTAATTTTATCCATTGTCTTTCTGCCACCGTTCTGACGTCATCAACCCATCTCTTTATTGGTCGGACCAGACTTTTTGTTATTCTAGGCGAATATAGAATGTCTCCATAGAATGACTTTTTGGGGCCATCGGTCTGGACCCTGTCTTGCCACATGTCCGATTTATTGCCACTTCAGACTGGCCACTCTTTTAACAACATCAATTAGTTTTGTTTTTTGACGTGTGTGGGTGTTCAGCATTTTTTCCCTCATGGTGACTCCTAACATGATTCTTTCCATGGCTGTTTGTGCAATTCGCAGTTGTTCTGCTGTTTTTCGGGTAATTGCCATAGTCTCTAAGCCATACGTATGCACAGGCAGGGCTGTTCCTGGCGAGCGTGCAGTGCGTGCACGCACGTAGGCGCAACATTTTGGAGGCGCAAAATCAAAGGGTCAATCAGTACTTTGTAACAAAAAACCGATACGCTTTCTTGCCAATAAACAAATACTTAAACTACATCATAGGATAAAGTTTGCTTAGCGTCTTTTTTGCGTTGGCCGCACCGAATAAACAAGTCTAGGGCAATCTGTCGGCAACACATTGATCTCATCTATCTATGGAAAGCATTGTTCATTAAAATGTTGTATCCTGTCTTATAGGGCTTGTTTCTTTCTACAATTTCCTGTCTCACAATGTACCGTTTGTGTCGGTGAAGGGATCATAGTTTCATAGTTGTCGATTTTCAAAAGAAATCAGTAGGTACATGTATATTATTTCGTATATTTTCTATTTTATTGATTTTATGGAAAGCACTGTTCATTAAAATGTTGTATCCTATG